TTGGATGGGTTTGGATATGTAAACCAGTAAGTTCTGTTAGTATACAACGTGCAAGGCAGCAGTCATTACCAAAATTACCTAATAGACCATTTTAATTCATGGCAAAAAGGAGGGTTTGAAGCCTGAAATCACATCTTCACATACAATCCTTTAATTGAAAAAGTCTACCTAAACATTTAGGATGGATAATTCATTAATGTGGGTCATAATCTCACAGGAAAAAAGGAAAAAAGTCAAATTCCCATAATTTCACTTATGAATTATATCAGATAATCATTTTTATATTCTTATTGTGCATCTATCTTCTTGTTATAATTCACACCAGCTAAATGGAGCACAGAATTTCTTGTTCTAAGGATAGTCTGATAAAAGAATCATCAGATCCAAGCTCCTGTTAATTTAACAGATTGGTATCTCAGGCTGATCTTTTCAGTCAGTTGATTCTAGCTCCTTTGCATACATGGGATGATAGATTTCCTTTAAATTTTACCCAGATTTCACTGGAGAATTCAATTTGCGTCTCCTAATCTTAATATTTAGATTATTTTCACTGTAGATTGTTGTCTCATCATATACCTCTGAAGATTACTCAATAAGTGCTTTTTTTTTTCCCTTGGTATTTTCAGTTTATTTTCTTTTGTGCAGTAACTTTTTACAGTTGCTGCAATGGAAATGATCTTTCAGATCTGTGGTTTCCATTATGAAACTCTCAACTGTCTGGCTTTATCAATTAATTACTTAACTAATAAAACTGCAGCATAGGCAACAATTCATGTAACTGAAAAAAATATGAAGTAAAAATAAAGTTCATATTTGTTGGAATGGCTGTGTTCCTGAATTTTAAAAGATTTTTGCACTCTAAAGATTTACTTTTGGTTCATCTACAGTAATAACTTTTTTTCTGTCTAAAATGAAAATGCCAATGATGTTAAACTTGCAGTTATACAGACTTGCCCCTTTTAATTATTTCCTTTCAGATGTTTAAAAGATACATAAATAATTGGAGACAAAAAGACATGTTCAACAGTGCTGCAAGATTGTATTTCACAGTAATTAATACTTTAAATGTAGTCTTAACTTTGTTAGTAACCTAAGCACATCACACTATCCAATGGAGATGGACCAATAAAACATTTTTTTCTTTACTGAGACCTCCTCAAAGGCTAGTACCAGAACTAAATTAGTTTGATTAAATTTTACTAACACAATAGCTTCAGTTTCTTTATAATATGGGAAAAATATAGGCTATGGACACTCAGAAATACAATTTTAAATTCATAACTTAAAAATCCTTAACTTATTTTATGAAGTGGTGAGCTACAGAGCGGTAGCAAGGCGCTAAGGTGGATGACTTGACTAAGTCGGTAGAAATTGATGACCTGCAATGACTGTGTAAGTCTTGTGAATGGAGTAAGGGCTCAATTGGGTGTTTTGGCATTCAAAGTAGATGAGAAACAGACACCGAAGCATATTGTGGACTGTGGAACTTGTCAACCTGGGATACTGAGGCCATCTCATCGTAGTCTAGAGAGTATACTCTAGCGTGTACTCTAGACAGTCAGTACTAATGTGTTAAGGACTTGAAGTCAGAAGGTTGGCCATGGTTTCTGTGTCACTGTTTGGTCATCAGTTCACTGAAGTTTGAGTTTCATACCAAAACTGTTGAAAATTGTATTCTGATGTATTGGGACTTAGAGCCTGCTTTTCTTTTTTTTCATGATTTCTTAGTTATTGATTGTAATTTGTTTTTAATGAAAAATGTGGTTTAGCATTACAAGTAATTTTGTTCACTTGTGAAAATGAATTTCATCCCTAAAGTCAGTAGACTTTCCATATATAACTAGGCATTTTAATTCAGGACTTTTTATGGAACTAGCCTCAGATCAGCAGTTTTTGCAGCAGAAATAGAACTGGCGAAGACTGCTTTCATGTCTCCTGAATCTTAACACAGTACCTTCAGCTTCTCTCTATAACCTTCTTTCCGTAATACCTCCAGTGCATAATACTCCACATCTTTCATCCTAAGACTGCACAGCAGTTGTCTCTACTGCAGGCACTTTTAGAGCCTTTCCCCATTCACAGTTCCACAATTTGCTATCACATTACCCCATTTTCCTCACGTATGCCTTCAATTTCTCCCCTTTTTGCTCTCCACTCCATTCCCCATCTTCTCTGTGTCAAAACAAAGCATGGGCTGTTGCCACTTTGGAGCTATACACGACGTGAGATGCTGGCCAGCACATGTGCTGCATGGCCATCTGGCTGCCGCCAAACTGCAGGGATGCAACCAGTCAATCATTCTGCTAATTTGCAGTATACTGAGGCTCAGATAGGATTTTGTACGAGGTGGCTTTTGGGTTCATGAAGAAAGTATGGCATATGTGTGTTCTTGGTTCAACTTCAAAAAGAAATCGGTATTTTGACAAAGGTTGCGTTAGCTCTGTGCATTGATTTTTTTTCCTAAGGTTTTAAATAGTTATCAAAAACTACCAAAGTATCTCATGCCTGTACTGTGAAAAGTAGAATACAGGATGGTGTTCCCCGTCACATTTGATAGAAATAGTCGGTAGTGCTTTCCATTGGATTTGTTTGCCTACAGCTACAAACACCAGGAATTTCTTCACTGAAATAATGCTTTTATGCAGTATCTGGAGGATGACATTAAGAGTTTAGCATTGGCTAAGTGTTTTCTGTGTGTTCGGTATGCTCTGTGTTTCAGTCTCACCCAGACAGGAAAGGACTGATTTGCTTTGCTTCCAGCAACCATTCAGATTGATGAATGATGGGAACAAGCTGGCTGAAATTAATTATGATAAAAATGAAAAGATTTTGTTATAAGGGAAACAGCTGAAGGACTTGACATTGGTTAGGTAAGGAGCTCTTCACTGTGAACATTCAGTTGTTACGAGTTAGCTGAGTCCTTGTTTTGGAAGCAAGTTTAAGTTCTCAAGTGTTTAGTGTGTCAAAATTAGACACTAAGCTTCATTACTATTATGTTATTATTCTTTTGGATCTGCCAGCAGTTTGCTTGCCTTTCAGAAATACATATTTACAATTCTTTAGTTTTCTTTAAGCTGAGCTGTTGCCATGTACCTCACAGAAGATATTTATGAAGAATATGCTAGTTTGCATTAAAAAATTATTCCACCTTGAGTGTGCAATGCTGGTGTCTGCATATGTGAAATTTAAAGGTTGGAGTTTTTCCGCTCTTGGCATCTGACAAGTCACAGAAGCACGGCATGGCTGATTTCAGTACCCTGATTCTCAAGTTGTGACAGTCTCAGGTGTGATACAAGGGTGAAGAGTCCTTGGGCACCCCTGATTGATGACACTTGACTGCAGTCCATGACAATAAGGCCATGACAAGTACCAGTGCCACACTTCAGAGCTTTTCCATCATCACCCCAGCATCTTCACTGAAATGCTGACAGGACACAGCTGTTGTAGAAAGCATTTCCATGATCTTGATGTCATCCTTCAGAGCTACAGTAAAGCTAATGTCTGTGGCCTTTTGTATCTGTAGAGGTATAAAGAAATACCAAGAGAGTGAAGAGCATTTCTAGCATTCTTCTGATTTCCCTTCATTTTAACCTATTCTGTCTTCCAAGCCTTAGCAATAGGAAATAAAAATTTTCTATGAGAGCTGCTGGGAAGGTTTTCAAAAGTCTGTTTCATATTCTTTCTTCATTTTGCATTATTTCCTCTTCCTCTGTTTCTTGATACAGGTTGTCTTTGCTTTTTTTTCTTCTCACTTTGTGGTTGTTGTGACTTATTTTATAGCACATTTGTACAATATCAAGTGATGGCATGAGACATGAAATACTCAAAACTTGGTAGGAGTACTGCCTCATTACTGATTTAAGAAAAAGTAGATTATGACCTTTAAAGAAATTATAAACCATTGACTCTAAGGCACCTTACTAACTTTTGTTGAATGAAAGAGGAGCAAACTTTAACTGAAGAGGCTCTTTTATTAATTCCAGCAGTTAATGAGTCAAAGTCTTGAAATTTTAAACTGATAAGTGCTGTATGTTTCTGAACAAAACTAAAGCAATCTCTAACATTGAGATTTAATTTATATTAATGGGGCTTCAAAATAACATTTTGCTGAAGTGTTGTAAGTGAACTGGAGAATATACATCTCATGTATACCTTTCAGTTTCTTGAAATTTTATTTAAATTGCTTGTTTTCATGAGCTGTTGTTTAAATTGTTACGAAGATTATCTCATGTAGCTTAGAATCCTGCCTGAATTTTAATTTTTCTTTAAGACTAACGTCACCTGAAATCCAACCCTTGAAAAATGTTACATGTGCTGCAATTGCGGATCGAGTCGGAATTCTCTGTTAAAAATTTAGACAACCTACATGCTATGATTCAAGTATATTACATGTGTAGATTGACAAGGGTGATTTGAAGTTTTATGCTAATATGTGCATAGCATGTCTCATTTTTTCTGTTATTTGTAAATTTTGTGGAAATTATGATGAAAAGGTTACTACCAATGTAAGTTGATAATTTCAATAATTTAAGACAGTAAATGGATTCTTAACTATTTTTGTGGTAATTATCATACTTGTTAATTTGAACATTCAAGTCAAGCAATGAGAGCCTGGCATCAGAGCTCCAGTCATCTTTACGTACATAATGAATGGATATAGTAAAGTTAGAGACCTAACCCTCTGTTGTAGTGGTATATGATCTGTGAACAACGTTTTGTAATGTTCAGTTATAAATTGGGCATAATTCAGGTCTTCCACTTAAAAATGTGAGAAAACCAATCACCTAAAGACAAAAAAGTAAATTTAAATGTCAAAAAAATTTCTGGTTTAGAAAAAAGATATACAAAAACAACAGAACCAACAAAAACCACCGTTTATTCTTTGAGCAATTTTCCTTTAAATTGGTATAAGAATTAACCTCAAAAGCTTTTTCCTACCTTAGGTTTCAAACATACTTGATAATAATCCTCTTAATTTTTAAAACTTGAAAATTTTACAGATAAAAAGCTTTGGTGGGCAGACCAGAACTTAGCTCAGATCGGTACCTGTAATAAAAAAGATGGAAGAAACCCCACTGTCCTGCGAAACAAAACTTCAGGTGTTGTCCATATGAAAGTGTACGATAAAGCAGCACAGCAAGGTATGTGAAACTGGAAGCATGTTTAACCAACTTTTAGACTGCACAGTATCTGTTTCGCATGATATTCTCCAGACAAGGCTAGAATAAAGTAATATGTATTCCTTGTAATTCAATGATAAATTACTACACAATATTTTGTAATTGAATAAATTACCAGATATAATAGGAGACTTGATTTAGCATATCTGTCTGGTATTTTTTTAATTTATCAGCTGTTTTCTGAAGATTACACTATAGTGAAGTTTGAAGTTCTTTTAGAGATTCTCAGTTTAAAATTTTAAGTAAAAAAAAAAGGCAGTGTGTGAGCCTCACCTCAAATTATTGAAATTTTAAGTGAAATATTGTGAGAGATGTCATTAATATTCTTAATTATCTATTTGTTTTAAGACAGTTTAATTTGTCTAAGTTGACAGAAGTGACAGTAGTATAAATCAAAAGTAAGAGAGCAGAAAAATGGGAGGGATATTGCTAATACTGCCATAACTAACATAATATGCAAAAGTGTAATTTGGGGACATGCACGTAGCTTTATGAATTTGGACATCAGCGATTAAAACATTTGTGAGGTTCTTTAGAAAGAGCTTATTTCTGATTCCAGCTACTTTCATGATGTTTGCATTGAAAGTGATGATGAGGATGAGATCTACATGAAACATATGAAGAAAAGGATCAAGTTATCTGCTGGGCAATAAGTAGTCTATGTACGGAGCACATTAATTCAGTTCCATATTTAGCACTTCTGGGTACATTTGCCTAATCTAGGAGGCAAGGGCCAGTCTTGCCCTTCGTTTTAAATGTGGTGGAACAGAAAGTAATACAAATGTAGGCATTCAGTAATGTTTCTATCGTTTTAAAATGCTAGAACTCCCTACCATGGAGGCATACAGATAGCCTTATGAGAACCCCAGTGTTAGTGATGTTTGGTGTCTGTGACATTATTATGCATTTTCCATTGTACAGAAGTCAAGAGAAAGAACAGTTCTGTCTTTTTGTAGTATTGCACTTGAACTGTAATGGAAGCCCTGAAGTGTAGTGAAATGTCACCTGGCTGATCTGTATTTTGACAGAGCAATGTCAGGGTTTTGGATGTAAGAATTAAATACTCTAGAAAGGATTCAGCTTTACACTTCCACCTTTTTTTTAAAGAATCTTTGCATATTTCGCATGCATCTTGCATTAATCAAACTGACACGAGAGCAAATGTGATGCGAGGGCACTTACAGATTTCTCTGCATACAAATCTGGCCTCCTAGATTATCATTTTTTTTTTTTCTAACTCTACAATTTGTCCCTTTGTCTGAGGTTGCCTGAGGCTTTTACAACTCACCTGTCTTTTCTATTTGAGTGGTTGGATCATCAGAAAATGTCTATGATTTTAGATTAAGAAATGCTTTCGACTTCAAAATTAGGGATGCAGAAATAAATGTGACTTTGGTTCATATAGGCTTGGAAACTTGTAATCAAGTATGCCTTGAATGTCTTAATAGACTTAAATGATTTTTCATGAAGTTTCCAATTTCTGAGATGTGTTTATTGTACTGTATATAATGTTTATGATCATCTATTAAAGACTGTTCATCTACTATTTAAAAGTAAATATTGTTTTAATTGGAAGCATGAATCTGTGAGATCACATTGGTGCATATCTTAAATACACTGAACAAATGGTGATTCATGAAGATGCAAAATTAATATAATATTTGATGAATGAATACGATGTGATCAATGGTTTGCTGATGGTCTAGAGTAAGATACGCCTTCAAGACTAATGTCAGTACAGTTTCAGCAATGCTACTCACAAACTTAATGTAGTATTTTCAGTTTTATCATATCCTTTTACTTTAAAATAGGCAGATTCTTCTTTAGAAAATTTATTTATTAATTAGTTATTAAAAAAAAATCTAAGGAAAAATACCCACTGTATGTAAGTGCACAGGAAAAGTGCTGTAAGGGTGAAGTATGGAAGAGTAGATCAATAGTAGCATAGCTTGAAATGTTTTATACATATCTCAGTTTTTCAAAGGAATTAGTTGGTTTAGGTAATATTAATAAATTGATGCAAACACTTATTTTTAGTTGGGATTGCACTGGAAACAAATTTTGATTCCTCTTGTCTGTCTTCTTGTGTCACGTTTATAGGTGGCAATTCCTGTCAGTTAAACAATGGTGGATGCTCCCAGCTTTGTTTACCAACATCAGAAACCACCAGGACTTGTGTGTGTACAGTAGGCTACAACCTTCAAAAAAACCGCATGGCATGCAAAGGTAAAATGGCTTTCAATATTTATTTCAACTAACTTCAGTTTTATGGGAATGCTGTTATAAGTAAAAAACTTTGTTAATTTTAAGTTAAATAACCATACTTAATATGCTTGATTAAAGCAAAACCAGAGAAATGTCTGCTGAGGTTAGCATAGAATTTAAATTTATATTTTAATTTATTTATTTAGTTCTGCATAAATTTTGTGGAAACTAAGCAATGTTTTTGGTTTTGGTTTTTAAATGTAGGCATAAAAGCAGACCATCTGAGCCATTACTAATAGCAATACATATTTGTTCAAGGTTACACACCTTATCTTTAAACTAAATTATAGGCTACAGTATCTTAAAGGTTGGGTATCTCATCCTGTTTTATTGCCCTTAATATAAAGTAAGGCCTGATATTTTTTATCTGTTTTTTAAAAATCTTTTGTCTATTTGAGCAAGAAAAAAAATCAGAACAAAGCTTACATCCAAAGTCTTACTTTTTGTCTGAGTAATACAAAAAAGCCTCATGGTCAGGGTGCCTTACAGTTGAATGTAATGGTATTTTTTTCTGTGAGGGATTGCTACTTCATCTAGTTAGTAGCAGAGTATACATGGAAGCAGAACTAAGCAACATAAATGTGGCTTTTCTACTTCTTCAGTGCTTTTCATATGTATCTTAAAAATGTTAGGAACATGTTATTATTTCTTTTTCAAATAGTCATTTTTACTCTTACAATTACTTCAGGTATTTATAACTTTCAGTTGTGGCTTAAGGTAAAACTAGTGGATGTTGTGCATTTGAAATGTATTCCTCCTTTTTATCTAGATATGCTGCTTTCTAGATCATAACATCTTTTTAGAATTAAATTTTCCTTCAGTTAAAAAGAGGTCAGGAGTCACAAACATTTTAATTCTGTCTTGAAAATTCATGGGAAAAAATTTACAAGTACGTATATATTTAACATTGCTTTTTTCATTTGCTAGCTAGATTTCTTCTTGCTTTGAAGAAAATTTTGTAATTCTCTACCTGAAACAATTTAGACCACATCCTTATGGTCTTCAACTAGGTAGCTCTTTACACTGGTATGAAGAAAGAGGTTGTTTTTTTTAATGTAGGGTAGTTAAAATTATTCAAGAATATGGGTTACATGTTATCATGCTGCATCATTGCCCTTAACCATAAAAGTGTTCTGAGATATGAACAGATTAGGAAAGTATTTGTTCTAATTCTGGTTGTCCATAATTAGGTGTGATTCTCCACCAGGAATGACTAAATAACAAGAACTCTACACAGGAGAATTTCTTCCTACTTAATAGCAATAGGTCCATCTAGATTGTGATTAATCTAACACAAAACTATACATTTAAAATGCATTGATCCCCTTTTCTCTCTAAGACATTTATCTTTTAATTAGAAATACACTGTAATAATTGATGGAGGTTTTTTTAAAGAGATGGATTTATCATTCTGGAAAGCTATGGAGCAGTATTGAAAAGCTGTATCTAGTGCTTTTCAATTCCTCAATTGTTTTTTGTTAATTGTTTCCCAATTGTTAATTGGGAAAGTCTCCACTTTGCTCTCATTGGCTCTTTTTATTTTTACCATAGGTATTGAATCATTCCTTATGTATTCTGTCCATGAAGGAATTAGAGGAATTCCTCTTGATCCAAATGATAAAATGGATGCTTTAATGCCGATATCTGGAACATCATTTGCTGTGGGCATAGACTTCCACGCAGGTAAGTGTTATGTATAGTTTATTGTATGTATAGTGAATATTGTATGCTATTCTTATAAATGAAATAAAGCCACAGTTTTCAAACCTTCTGAATAATTGCAGCTTTATTTAAAGGAATTGGAAGTTGGTTGGTTGTTACAGTGTTAACCTCTAGCTATTTATAATTTATAGTAAATAGAAAACTTTGTGTAATGATTATGTAGATTACATTAGCAGAACTATCCACTGTTTTCCAGTGGAGACATCACTGAGCGTGCTGATAAGCTGCCTGTGGACTGTAGGATGAATTGTGGATAGAGTCAATTCTTATTCTTTTATCAGTATAACACTCTCAAATGTCACACTTTTTTTTTTACTAGATACTTTTTATACTGTCAAACTTCAATCTATATGATTGCACAGTTTTACACAATAGTTTTTCAGACCCCTAAATATTTTGGAGTGGTGATGAATAAGCAAAATAAGATGTTTTTTGAAACATATATTCCTTTAGGAAAAAGGAAAACAAAAACAGGACAACCTGTTTATTGTCTGATTCTGAACAGGAGTAGCATCTTCTATCAATCGTCATGGCCCTGTTGTGTTACACGTGCAGAACTAAACAACCAGTAGAAAACTTAGAATTCCTATTTCTTTATTCAAAAAAGGAAAAAGAAATTAAGGATGATAGTGTTGATACTATTCTTCTGTTTACTCTGAGACATATTGATAACGTTTATAATTGGCAGTGTTTAAAGTTACTGGTGTAGATAGTTGGACTGAAGGAACTGAATTAATCCAAGAATCCTCACTATGTATTTTATAGGAAATGATACAATCTATTGGACAGACATGGGTTTCAACAAGATTAGCAGATCTAAACGAGACCAAACATGGAAAGAAGACATTGTTACAAATGGTTTGGGAAGAGTTGAAGGCATTGCAGTGGACTGGATAGCAGGTAAGTCTTAGCCTGCTTCAGGAGTTGTCATGGTTTCTGACAGTATGCTCTTGCATCTTCAGCTCGAGCCTAAATAACTTGGTTTGCTTTCAGCTCTAATTTCTAATATTCCAAATGTCTAGATGTTCTTCTTTGAAGATACCACCACAGTTCTTTGCAGTTTTATTACAGACAGAAAAATTATTTAAATGTCTTGGACACTATTTCTTAGCTGGACAGTCTCAGTGGTGACAGACACAAATACAAGTTTATATTTTAAAACAGAAGGCAGAATAGGACTAGAAATTAAGAATATAAGATATATATATATATGTTAAAGTACAGAGGTTTGTTTCTGATCCTAAGTTACACACTAAATATTTAAACACTTTTCAAGTAGTCTTTTCTTTTTCCAGTAACTTCAAGGTATTTTTCCCAGGTAACATATATTGGACGGATCATGGCTTCAACTTAATAGAAGTTGCCAGGCTCAACGGCTCATTCCGATATGTAATTATATCCCAGGGTTTGGACCAGCCAAGATCTATTGCGGTACACCCAGAAAAAGGGTAACATGACCATGGCTACTTGCATTTCTTTTAAAGTTTGCATGTTAGCACAGTTGCTCTTAGATAAATCAAGGCCTTCATTCTAATAGATAAGCATTTAATAAAGCCACCAAAGATTTTATTGGAAACTATTGTATCGTAACTAAAAAGGATGGAGTTGGTGTTTGTATCGTATGCTGAATATTTTCATTGGTCTCTGTACACGTGCCATACTGTACTTTCTTTGCAAAACAGTTTTCATTTTCTAGGAAAATAATTTCAACTGAAGTTGAGACAGTATTTGGAAGCATGCTTAAATCTGTTCTTAAGTTTCCAGCAAACCCAAGGAAGTCACCTTAGTTAATGAAGACCTTAATTTCATGATGAAATCACAGAACTGTGTAATCCTTGGTAGTTGTATATTTGAGTATCATGTAACATCCCACTACAACAACCGAGGAGATTGTTTAGGGTAGCTGAAAGTAAGGTGAGATAAAGCATGTGGGAGAGGAAGGGCTGACAGAAATCTGTATTCATCCCTTTGTTGAGAGTTTGTTGAGGGACCTTACTGCAGCAGTAACAGAAATAGGGATTTTTCAGTCCTCTTGCAGCTCCAGAACTATTGTTAACATAGCTACATCTAAACCAGAGGCAGTATATTCTGCAAAGAATTCCCTTCTTTTTTTTATGGGAATATGAAATGTACTTTCTGAGGAAAAGGCATATAAGCAAGACTCAGTATATAACTGCTACACTTACCCTGCTCATTTGGAAGCACTAAATGGGGTCTATCATAACCTTAAAGAAGTATTTGAGGATCTATCTGCCCCCACAGCCAGAGGTGACACTATAGCTCACTTATTTTCCATAGATTCAATCTGATCGGTATCTCACTATTTTCAGGAAAGCAGTCTCTGTACTCAGGACTTTGCAGCCGTAGTAATGAAGAATTCTGACTTCTCTCAGAGACAGGTTGATACCAGTGATGCAAAATGCCATTTGGATCTTTGCCCTGATTTCCTTTACTGAGAATTTAGACATAGTGATCTGTGCATTTTGCAGACAAGAGCCTTGCAACTGAGTGTATTTAAGAATGAAGGTGAAAGCAATAATGGGTTTTATTTTCTGCGTAATGTAATAGCTTTTTCCACAAATCATTACAACTGTGTTCATATAGCAACACTGGTTGCATGGCCGTATCTGCTAACACTTTAAGATTAATGCTGCTGTTCAGAGTAGCATCTTCTCCAGATCCTAGTTAGGATCTGAATTACTTATTGTGTTTTTGTCCTTAATGTACCAGAATAGCTGTGCTCTTCTGCTAGAAAAAAAAATAAAAATAAAACCAAGCCATTTTTGAAAGTAAGTACACACAACGCTGATAAAATTCTTCTGACCAAACTCCTTCAAAGCAGTAGTTAATTTACAGTGCAGTTTTCCTCAACATATATATAATGTGTTTGCTGTATGCATACACAGATAGGTTTTCACCCCTTTCTTACATCGAAGAAAAGGAAAAGCCCCCATGGACTCTATGGGGTCTAAGTTCAGCAGATGCAGTTTCCCCTTAATACTAAAATATTATCAATTGTGTAGGTAAAAATAATTAATGTCAACTAGAAACTGTAAACAGTGGAATTGACTCTTCTGCAGTACTTTGAGAGGGAGGATAGGTTATAGCTGGGATCCAACAATTAACAATTGCTATAGGAAAGAATAAATACAAAGCCCATGACAGAATGATATTTTATACTACTATTGGTAGAAAAGTTGGGTTTTCTTAATTGAAGTATGGATTTGATTTTATTTTTTTTTATTTTAATGGCAATATTTTCACATGGTGCTTTCTGACTCAAGAGTTCATGGGTTGTTTTTTTTACCAAAATGTTAAGTGTGCATATAAGCAGATGAAATAATAGCCAGCAATATTAACAAGATTCTTTGGAGATAAACTGATTTCTGATTTTAAGTTAGTGCATATTTACAGATGCCACTGAACCATCTTCTTAAGTCTTAAAATAGAATAATCTAATGCCACCAAAAAGCAGGTATTAATAAAATGTTCTTGAGATATAGTATAGAGGGGTTTGAATTATTACACTTGAAACAAGCAAACAAACAAAACAGTAAAGAAGATAAGTGCTAAATGTAGAAATTAATTCAGTTGTTAAACATTCCTGAGATGTTTTGATCTTGTTGAGTTTTATAGTTAGTTTTTGGATGTGTTTAGAATGCTGAAGGAAACGTAGGAGGATGAGAGGAGCACAGATTAGTTCTTGTTTTACATGCCTGGTAGAACAGATATCTTCTGTGAAGGTAGGTAAGCTTCATGTCTCTTTTTAATACTGTGCCACAAAATGATATCTTGAGATGTCCCCAATGAAAGTTTCTTCACAAGAAGGACAGCAATGTTTTGCTGGTGATGTATGGTTTTACCTTTCGGTGAGAAGATAAGGGCCTTTTTACCCTCTGACTCATTG